GTGTCTGTCCTCACACGTGTGTCCTCACATGTGTCTGTCCTCACACGTTTTTCAGTCGTAAAACTGCAGAAGTTCTTTTATTTTGACTAAAAAACATTTTGAATTAAGTTTCTCTTCTCGTATTTAATAATTCACTCAACAAAGTTCTTTTGTGTTTAAACAACATGTTGATGATATTTATAGAAGCTGTGAAGTTTTTTGTCGTAGAATGTTTCGTGTCGTTATCGTGATCTTTAGCAGGTAACGGCCCGACAGTCGTTTCCAAAAGAAACTGAAGTCCCTCTTTACTTTTCTGTCCCTCGCTCCGTCTCTCTCTTCTTCCTCCCTCCGTCTGTCAGATTCCCTGAGTCATGTCTAATAAGCAGAATTCATTTCTCTGTTCGTATTCGATTCGTGTTTTCATCTCAGTGTTTTGTTGAAGATTCCTCGTTCTCCTCCCCGCTGCTCTGCTCTCTGCTCCTCATCAGCCTCGTCTCGTCCTCACGTCACCTCCTCTTTATTTCATTCTTCATCTTCTCCTGGTTTTCTTTCCTTCCGTCTTTCCTCACTTCACCTCTTTCTCCCTCTCTCCCCTTCCCTCGTTTTCATCCTCCCCCGTTTTCTCCTCTTTCAATCCCTCATCTACTTTCTTCCTTTTCTTTCTCCCCCTCTTTACTCTTGTTTCCTTCTCCACCTCCCTTCCTCTCCGCCCTTATCACATCACTCCCTCGTTCGCTCACTGTCGACCTCTCCTCTGATTTAAACACATTTTTTTTTATAATCCCTCTCTCCCTCCATCCTTCACCTCTGTCACCCCACCTTATTTTTCTGCTGGAATTTCTCTGAAACCACCGTTGTCACAGCAACCGTCGGATAATGACTTCGAAAAATATTCAAAACAAGCTCTCAGGGAAGGGAAAGGTGGAGGTTTCCCTCCAGGTTTACTACTGTTTACAATGCATCATTCCTCCCACACACAGCGACGCGGGGATATTTTTATAACTTTTGTTCATGTACCGTTGATGTTTCTTACATATTCTCTGTACAAGTCAAAGATTGAAGCAGAAAAAGATCATATCTCAATTTCTCCTGATTTCCATCCAGAGGAGAAGAAGTTTCTCCGTCATGAGCGGTAAGTTTTTGTTCCTGTGTGGAAGAGAGAAGCTTCCCGCTGAGTCTGAAACTTGATGAGAAGAATTTCTATAAAACCCAAACAATTAGTGGCTAAGGGCTAAAAGCTCTCTGCATCTTTGTTATCTGACAATTATATCAGGTTTGTTTCACGAGACGTTGAAGTTTTAGACGAGCCGCTCTGAACCGTCGGTGGAGAAATGAGCCGGTGAAAAGGTAAGAAGACAAACATGCAGCCACGTGACACAGCAACAGGAAAAACTCTCATTACACAAATGTCGCTTCTGTTGACCTTTGTCTAACAGCATTCTGGGAAACGTGTGACACACAAACATGAAGGTACATGTGAAAAACAAATACTGCGACATGTTTGCATGCAAATACAAACACTGCATGTTTATTCAGTTCATACAAATATCATGCAGCTGTCACATCCTGGACGTTTGTGCACACAGGAGCGTGCACGTAGCTTCCTCTGACATTTGCCGACATGTCTTCAGGCCTCGACGTGTCAGTGACGTTCACGTGAAGATGAATTATTAATAAATCCAAATGGAGAATGTGTTTGATTCCTTGTTGTTGTTTCTCTGTGCTTTTAATTTTCCTCTTCCACCAGAGACGCTCTGTCTCTCGCACACGCGTGTCTTCAGACTGCGATACGAGACGTTTGAGGCGCCACAACATGAGACGCGAGTGAATAAATAAACGTGAACGCAGTCAAATAGAAAAGTTAATATTTAATTTCGTGCAAACAACAATGACAAATGATTCAGTTTGAGCTCTTACTCGTTTCAGCGCCTGTTTTCTAAATGACACTAAAGCTGCACGGCTCCGTTCGACGCTTCAGCAGCAAAGTGCAGACTGAGAATCCGGCCGTCCCTCATTAAAGCACCAGCAGCGTCTCTGCAGTCCATTGATGTAGAAATCCCTCGTTTCGATGCAGTTGCTCACGTGTGCAGATCAATGTACAGGCGGCTAAATATAGCTCTGCTCGCGTATTGGATTTCCCTGGCAGCGAGCTAAAAATAGAGCGAGGGGCGAGGGAAGAGGGGGCGAGAGTGACCCCAAAGGAATAAGACGAACACGTTGGAGGAGGAGGACGATCTATATGGACTCTGTTTCACTGTCCTCGCCATCCAACGTTTCTCCTTCTCGCAGAGTCTCCCCCTCTTTGCATTTCCTCTTAACTCGGTGTAAGTGATGGTTTTTTTATGTGTAAATTAAAAAACGTCTCAACGACACCGTTGTGTTTCTGGGTCATTACCGGAAACAGAAAAGCTCCGAGTTACATTTGTGGGTCACTGCTCACCTTGGTACCAGGAGAGTTTGGATCCTAAAGGAGGCCTGAGGCAGAAGTTTCCACTGGGACCGTTTGTACGAGACGTGCTAAACAGAAGCTCGTGTTCGGAGCTGCTGCTGCTGCTGCTGCTGCTGCACGGAGGCTCCGAGAGGTAGAGCTCATGCTCGTATCCTGTCTTTCATTGGAGCTGACGCGGTGGAAGCAGATGTTGAGATCTGAGCTTCTGCTAAATGTCCTTTTGTTTTTTATTGTGTCGTCATTCATTATGAGAAAATAACTATTCATTCATAAACATGTTGAGTTTACTGTGATCGGCTGTGAGAGACCGAAGTTCTACCACCTCAACCTTCTGTGCTTCGTATTCTCCGCCTGCACCAGCGTCACGCAAACATTCGAACATCTGCATACGGTGCGGAGGGAAATTCAAAACAGCAAATGATTAATTTAACTGTTGACGTTTGGTTCTGCTCTAAATCGGAAATCACAGCCGGACTAACCGACGACAGCGGAACAGTGTCACAGCATCACAGAGTCCGACACACGAGGGACAGATGTTTCCCTCCATCCCGAGAAACGAAGGCTGTGGATCCCTCCAACATTTCCCAGGATTCATCGGGCCTCGCTGAGGAACTGTTCTTGTTTCTTCTCTTAATAACAGATGTTTTGATTATTATTATATTATCATTATTATTATTATTATTATTATTATTATTGTTGTTGTTGTTGTTGTTGTTGTTGTTGTGCAGGCCACAAATAGTTCTGATCTTTTACTCTTTCCTCTTTGTCTCGTTCACATCGCATCAATAAAGTTGGTGGTGAAAAAAAAAAAAAAAAGCGGGCTGAGGGGGTCAGTAAATCAAACGCACCCTGTGACGCGCAGATGAGGAAGCGCTGGTGTCAGTGGCGCAGGTTTGAAATCCAGAGGAGCAGAAAGGACAGAAGAAGTTTAGAGTCCGTGAAACTTCTCTGAGTTTCCTGAAGTCTGGATTCAAACTCAGGTACGTTCACACTGAAACTCACTGAAGCTGCTCACAGAGAATCTGTGAGAGAAGGAGGCTTAACAAACATTCATTCAAAGTCACAAACATTTTGAAGGCTTTTATTTTTCTAACTGAAATCGAGAATTTTAATTCACAGATTAATTTTTTTAATCTGCAAATCAACAAACTAATGATTTCAGGCAACATTAACTTTTTAAATCTGAGAGCAGCAGGAATGGAAACCAGACATTTTGTATTTTTCTTGTATTATTTTATTTCAGTGTTCCTTCAGACGCTGACACGTTTGTTTCCTCTGCTCCTGTAACTTCTGGGATTTTATTAGAATTGCATCGATTAACGTTTCGATCAGGAGCAGCCGTTTCCAGATCCCCCCCGGAGCCGGCAGCCTCCTCTGAACTCTGCCCTTCCTCTGATTATCGATTATGGCTTTGTCTTTGAAAACAGACCGCTGCCTCTCTGGAGGGATGTGAGTATTGATTCTGGGATGTTTACTGTTGCCATCAGCAACATCTCTAACTGTACCGAAGCCCGAGGACAGGAATGAGGCAGCATTTTACACGACTGGGGTCTTTTCTCCGGCGTTGGAGGGAAATTAGTTCAGTGATTCTCCGGCGGGTGAAGCGTTTTCAGCAGAACATCGTTCAGGGATGTGTCTGTGGATGTGACGCACTTTTCCTGGGATCCTCATCTTCCTTATCATCCCACAAAGGTTTATGGTAAATTTAAAAAAGTCACACTTTTCTGTATTTAAACTGAAAATAGACGAGTTCATCATCTTGCCCTGGTTGTAGTTCACAGTCCCTCAGGTTCGGCGACGCTTCCGTTTCCGGTCCACTTTGTGAAACTGCTCATGAACAACACGGTCGCTGCTGTATTTATAAACCTGCTCGTGTTGCCGTGAAATCTTCTGCACTCTGGATTTAGAGCAGCTGTGAAACCGCAAAACTGCGACAGACTCTGCATCAGTAGATATTTTTTATTTTCGAAGCCAGTTTGACTGAAGACCAGTCGGTCCGACTGGGGAATAACCAGTTAAATAGGCCATGTGCTCCCTCGCTATTACTATGTGTGTGATTATGAGTCACACGTTACTCCATAAAAAGCAGGAGGTTCCTTAACCCTTCGCTCTCCTGGGCCTCGTTAGAAGTGTTTCCACATTCCGACGTGTTTGTGAAGCAGAAAATTATGTAGAAAATACATATTTGACATATTTACGTCCACGCCGGGATTCTGATATGAAGCAGATTAAATCTAAATAAGACGCAGAAAAGTATTTTCTTATCACATTAACCTAAATAAGGTCTTACTTGAAAAAAGCATGTGGGGAAATGTTGTTACCGTACTCGTGGGTCTGAGCGTAAACAAGCAGTAACGTTGATATTAGTCACTGTTTAAAGTGATAAAACTCTCAATCACTTCAGGGAACTTTTTTCAAAACAATTTTAAATAATTTAAAATTGAAATGTTGAATTTCAATTTTAAATCTGAACCCTGCGGGACTCCGCTCTCTTTGTTGGTCTCTCAACACGTCTGTGTCAAAGGACAGAAGGTGAAACATGAGGATTCTAAAAATACCAACAAATCAATGGCCAAAGAAAAAGAAACACTTTAAAATAAAAGAAAAAGAACGGACAGATATTTCCACAGAACCCACAGTGTGCCGATGATGAAGCCGCCGTCCGCTCAGCACGCACACGTTTCCAGCTCTGGATTAACGGTTGAGCGTCTCCCTGCGGGATCAGACCTGTGACGCTGTGAGATCCCACCTGAGGTGCAGACGACCCATTTTCAGGCCGAAACTAATCATTATTTTCTGAGACGCCATAGAATCACGTGTGAGACGTGTAGGCTGTGAACACGGACTGCGGAGGGACCTCTGTGTCCGTGTAGACTCACGTGTGCTGGTGACACGGACCCTGAAGAACACGGTTAATTGAAGATGCTGTGACTTGTGGGTTTTTAGCAGCTGCGTGTCGCTCTGACCGTGAACGCAGAGTTAACGACTGAAGGTGAAACGTGTTTGTGTGGATTATTATATATTTTTATCACTTTGGAAAAAAAAAACGTTCCCAGAGAATAATTCATGGATCAACATGGACTGATATTTATACAATTAACCAGTTTTAACAAACTGGCAAATATTAACTTGGCAGGTGGGATGAATTCCTCTGTTGCCCACACGGTCCCCATGCGTTTACACACACACACACACACACACACACACACACACACACACACACACACACACACACACACACACACACACACACACACACACACACACAC